GGAGAGTTTTGCAGGGGGGGGGGCAGAAGTGTGAAAACAATGGCCTCTTCTTTGTATCTGCTGGCAGCAGGTGCAGCACCCAATCCGAGAAAGGCGGGTACCGGTACCACACTCAATTTTCTAAGTGGTGGTCCCGGTTGTTGCTTCCAGGCTCGGCAAAATTGAAAATTCAGGCTCGTACAGATAGCCTCGGGTGTACTGGTAGTTCAAGTGTATCTCTGAAAGCAAAAAAAACGGTGGGATGTATCTGACTGTAATTATGACTAGAAACAAGTTAAACCACTAGTACTTCCTAAAGTCGTGCCCGTAAACAAGCCACAACTTTAGGAAACGTATGGGCCACTACAGAAGCGCCCAAATTCATCCGGTTAGAAACGTTTCTACTCTATTTTTTTCTGCGGCCAGTAGCTGGGCCAAGTACTGGTTGTTTTAAAAGTTCTACTGTTAGTATGCCCTTGTACTCAGACTTTTAGAGGCAACCTCAAAGGAGTGCTACCCGTCTTACTTTTACTGTAGCTGTATTTGTAGCTGAATTTGGGCCAATTTCAGTCTAGATACAGCATATTAGGTTGTGTATCGGTAGACCCGTGAAGCCCAGCCCGTATATTTTTCTCTGTATTCGGGCCAATTTTCAGTCTAGATACAGCATTAATGACCGTATGTTGTGTATCGGTAGACCCCACGAAGCCCAGCCCTTTATATTTTCCTCTGTATTTGGGTCAATTTTCAGTCTACATACACAGCATTAATGACTGCATGTCGTGTATCGGTAGACCCCACGAAGCCCAGCCCTTATATTTTTCAGACACTTTCAGAGGCAACTCGAAGTAGTACTAGACCCCACAAAGTCCAAAAAGAAACAATGTAACTCTCAAACAGGCAACTGTGGCGCCTGTGGGCCCTGCTGCTATTCCCCCCCCCCAAGAAGTACTACTGCAGCGAGGTCCCACTTGCAAAGAGGATTGAATTGAGCACCTGAATCTGGATGCGTTTTATGCAAAAATGCAGAAATTGAAAGCAGATACGTTGTGATTTTCTGCAGCTCTCCACAGCCATGTCCAGATTCAGGCGTCAGATCAGGTCTCCTTTGCTAGTGGGACCTTGCCCCAGTGATAATAATTTGGGCTATGCATGTAGATGTCCGTGTTGGATCAGAAATGCAACAAACCACTGCTGCTGACAGGTTTTGGGCGTGGCCGTAATTGCAGTCAGATTCATCCAGGACTGGCTGTAATTGCAGTCAGATTCATCCAGGTCACCTTGTAATAAGAAAAGACTCTTTAGGGGGTACTCACAATCTGGACATCATTTTGCAGTCAGGTTCATCCAGCTCACCTTGTAATAAGAAGAGACTCTAGGGGGTACTCACAATCTGGACATAGTTTTGCAGTCAGATTCCTCCAGGTCAGCTTGTAATAAGAAGAGACTCTTTAGGGGGTACTCACAATCTGGACATAGTTTTGCAGTCAGATTCATCCAGTAAGTTTTGCAGTCAGATTCATCCAGTACTGGCCGTAATTGCAGTCACATTCATCCAGGTCACCTTGTAATAAGAAGAGACTCTTAGGGGGTACTCACAATCTGGACATAGTTTTGCAGTCAGATTCATCCAGTACTGGCCGTAATTGCAGTCAGATTCATCCAGCTTACCGTGTAATAAGAAGAGACTCTTAGGGGGTACTCACAATCTGGACATCATTTTGCAGTCAGATTCATCCACGACTCGCCGTAATTTCTGCCAGATTCATCCAGCGCTGGCCATAATTGCAGTCAGATTCATCCAGGACTGGCCGTAATTGTAGTCAGATGCATTTTGGAAATTGCTAACAGACTACTGATGCTGACAGGTTTTGCGCATGGTCAACTTGTAACAGGAAAATACTCTTTAGGGCGTACTACTAGTCACACGCACGAGGACTTGCTTGTTTTACGGGGATCTGGACGTCATTGCAGTCAGATTCATCCAGGCCTGGGCGTAATTGAGGTCAGATGCGGGGATAACAGACCACATGTTCTGACAGGTTTGGGGCCATGGTCGCGGGCATGCTCATGTTGTAACAAGAAAAGACTTTAGGCATACTCACACTACCGTCTTCACCCGAATAGAACGTTCGGTCATTATAGCCGTATTTGGGGCAACTTTCAGTCTAGATGCAGCCATAATGACCGGGTGTTCTATTAGGGTGAAGACGGTAGGACTTGTTCTAAGAAGCTCTGAAGACAGGATTGCAGTCAGATTCGTCGTCCAGTGCTGGCCGTAATTGCATTCAGATACATTTAGGAGAGTGATCATGTTGTGAGCATGCCCTATTACTGTGCTGATGTGTAGGGTAGGTGGGGGCAAAAAATGCTTGGAAAAAAAGGATAGGAGGGAAGGAAAAAAGAAGGAAAGGGTGGGGGGATTGCACAGATTGGGGCCGCCTCCTTACAGTCTCACTAGGACTCTATCTGCCTGCTGATCTTTTGATTTTGCGATTATAAGGGCCTAGTGTGAGTGTACCATCGAACTCAATTTAATTTAACAAAGTTTTTCCTCACAAGGGCAAGGTTCGAAGAAAAAAAACGTTGTTAAATTAAATTTATGGTACACTCACACCAGGCCCTTATAATCGCAAAATGGAAACATCAGCAGGCAGATAGAGGCCTAGTAAAACTATAAGGAGGCCCCGATCTGGCCGCTGATTTTGTTATTCTGCACTTAGTACAAGGACCTAGTGTGAAAAAAAGAAAAAAAAAAGTGAAAAAAAAAAAAGACAAAAGAACAAGGCAGTCTTTGCCCTTGGTGTTGATGTTGCCTGCAGGCAAAGCAGGTACCGTGAATCTTACCTACCACAAAGTGTGGTGTATAATCCCCCCACACTCAATCCACCTCTGAATCAGATCGTTGTCAGGGGTGGACGGACTACTCGCACTGTCTGCCCTTGAAACACCCTAATAATGAACGTATACAAGCTATGTTTCCAGTCAAGTCCCACCATAATCATGATAAGGTGCGTTGCATTCAGCCAAGGGGAGGAAGACTATAGGCTCGTCTCCGTAGGCTCGACTCCTTATGAATCGCCAACTAAGGTCCTCTGTTCTTGATCTTCCAGTATTTTGCAGTAACTCCAGCCGCCGAAATCGAGCGACGTTGGAGCTGTCTGCTCTCTGCTTCGATGGTGTCCCGAATTTGGAGGCGGGGGGAAGTGCCCTGGCATAAAATTGCAGCTACTAAATGAATCACCAACTGAGGTCCTCTGGTCTTCCTCTGCCAGTATTTTGCAATAAATTGTGGCCGCTGGATCGACCAACATCGGCGTTGTCTGGTCTGACTCGATGGTGTCCCGAATTCGGAGGCGGGGGGAAGTGGCCTCTGATACATAATTAAATAATCTGATACATAATTACATAAATTTACAGTTCAAAGCTTTCGATGTTTTTGTGGAAGATACATGCTCCATTTTGCCCATTCTGGGAGTGGTGTGCCTCTGATAAGCAATATTCGTTCGAGCTGTATGAATGATACCAACCATAGGGGGCGCAGACTAGCGACCAAAGCTGGCTGGCGCAGACTATCGACCATAGCTGGTGGAGACTACTGACCATGGAGTGGAAACGTCTTAGATGCAGACTCACTGCAGTTCCTAAGAGTGGAAACCTCTCTCAGGCTGTCGGAGAGCGGACCTCACCTGCTACGGGGAGAAAGCTCAACAACCTGCCCTCTGACATGATTGCTGAGATGGGGAAACAGAGGCCGGTTCGATTTTACTTTGTTTTTTTTCCCTTTAGTAATTAAACAAGGCTGACATCTTTGAGAAACCATCATAGAACTGACTGGCAATTTGGTTTTCATTCCTTAGACGGTACCACCCCCCCCCCAGCCCCCCCATCTTGCATTCCATTCATCTGATCATATCGATGGTAATTTAGGGGCAGTCGATAAAGCAGGTTGAAGTTGATGACCGATTTGTCCTTTTTCTCATGAGGGAGGGAGTGGTTGTGGTTGCAGGGTCTACCTCCACCTCCTTTTTCTCTGTTTATCGACAATAAGCCCAGAAGATACACTGTGGGCTGTGAAGAGTGCGACCCCACATTCCATCCAAACTACCAGCTCAAGTGGAAACGTGCGAGAGATGCACCCGAGGGACTGGGTCCCACTAGCAAGGACGATTGGACAAAGCGGCCGAATATAGACATGCTTTATGAAGAGATGCAGAAAAGCAGAGCAATTGGGGTTTTCTGAAATGGAGCAACCGGATCGCGTACTAGGGAGGATCGCGTACTAGGGAGGATGCTCGTATCATCCCCCCTAATGATGCTGCCCCGGCTTTTCTGGTTTAGCCTCCTGATGAGTCGGTGAAACTCCGACGAAACAGTTTGTCACAGCCCCTCGTTTGTTGTCCTCTTCTCTCTCTCTGCCTACGGTCTACCGGGCAGTTCTATTTGTGACGATATATAGGGATTTTCTGCACCTCTCAACTAACACATCCAGAAAGGCTGAGTGCCAATCAAACTCGATCAAATCCAGTCCTCTTCCTTTTTCTTTTCTTTTTTCTTTTTTTGTTTTGTTTTAATCCAGTCGTCTATGCCAGATATGTGATTAAGTTTGATTGGCAGTTAGCTATCTTACAGTTTTGACCGATACACGCTACCCCACCGAAGAATCGCCGAACTTTCCACTCCAAATGATTGTTGAGTGAGTGATTCTTCAGTAGTGATGACAATTGGGGTTGTGTTTTCACCCCACCGCACTGAAGAATCACGCGCTGAACAAACGCTGAAGTTTTGTAATCATTAGCGATACAGAGTAACCCAAATAACTCCAGTATGACCCCATAATTTCAAACTGGCTTGACATTAAAAAAAAAAAAAAAAAAACTGGCTTGACATAATTTCCACAGGTTATCACAAGGTGGTCACTGTGTTGCAAAAGTGCATGGGCTGAATGGTAATAAAGACTTAAAAAAAAATTCTTCTCTGTTTGTTTCCCCTGTTTTCTCCGTCGGTTTTATGGTTTGCAGGGGTATTGTTGAAACGCTTCTTATCAAGATTGTGACGACTCCTCGGACGAACGAGTTTGCCACACCTGATCGTGTTGATGAACTCGCTCAGGAGCTGTATGGTAAGTTCCCACCTGCCTATCCTCTCTCTCTCTCTCTCTCTCTCTCTCTCTCTCTCTCTCTCTCTCTCTCTCTCTCTCTCTCTCTCTCTCTCTCTCTTACACACACACACACACACACATGCACACACACATGCACACACATACACACACACACACGCAAGCAAAGACACACAGATACACACACATGGGGAGTTCTTTTTTGTGAAGAACTGCCGAGATGTTGAAGATGCATCCTAAGGAGAGTATGACAACACACGCACATGCACACACACAGGGGACGTGCACACACAAACTGCCGAGATGTTGAAGATTTATCCTAAGGACTCTCAAGGACAATAAAAGGAAAACTTAACGAAGTACTTTTCGCAATGCAGCTAGAGTCCTAGTGAGATTGTAAGGAGGCGGCCCCGATCTGTGCAATCCCCCCACCCTTTCCTTGCGATTATAAGGGCCCAGTTGAATGACAGATGGGATGGACATGGATCCAGTGGCTGCTGCTAATCATTTTTTTATGGCAGCAAGTCGACGAGTGCGCATGTATTAGACATTGTGCAGGGTGGTTGGGAAAGGGAGGCATCTGTCGAACAGCTGGAAGAGCCAATAGTTGCACAATGCAGCTGGACGCACTGGGTGATTATACAGATTGGCCAGTCGTCTCCTCGTCCCGACTTGCTTGTTCACAGCCCCCCTGACTGTGAGTGGAAGTCCATTTATAAGGTGCGCGGGCTTTGCAATCTGAGATGGGTGGCAACCATACCAAACCCGCTCAGAGCGTGTTCACACTACCGTCTTCACCCAAATAGAACGCCCGGTCATTATGGCTAAGTCAGTTGAAGTGAGAATCAAAGGTTTAGGTTATGGAAAGCGTTCGGCCTTACGTGGTTTACAATTAGGAGGTCTGTTCTGTTCGGGTGAAGACGGTAGTGTTCTTTGCTAAATGTATCTGATGGCAATTACGGCCGAACTTGGATGCATCTGGCTGGAATCCTGGCCACAGCTTGGTCGAAAAAGTTCCTCGTGCGAGTTTGCCCTCAGTGTGCAATGTGATCCGATGCAGGCTTCCAGTCCAACAGACGTGGGGGGGGGGGGGKCTAATTGCCATAAGCATTTCGACGTTTGGTGGAATGGATGCGTGCAGCACTCCACCGTATTTCACAGAGGGGATAAGGCTCCACAAGCACAACCGGACAATGGTATAAAGTACTAAAAACACGCAATCAGGGTATAGTAGCATAGTAGCATACTCACACGAGCACGTGCCTAACTGTGTCCGTGTGCACAGTTACGACCAGAGTTGGATGAATCTGACTGCAATCACGTCCAGACTCCAGAGCAGAATATGCCCTTTAGACAGACTGTATACGGATTGTTTAGAAAAATCCGAAGGATCGTAGTTATCGGAAAACTTGCTAACTTCAATAGTTTAGAGAAGAAAATTCAAAAATTGGCATTTGTATTATAATTTTGTAATAATTTTGTAATAATTTTGTATAGTATTTTTGTGCAGTGCTCCTATTCAGTCTTTCTTGGTAGGTGGTGAATTGCGCCGGTCCTCGACTGTGATGATGGAATTGACAAGTCATGGATGGGGTGTGCCATTATGGTGCTGATGCTTCTCTTCTTCTTTTCTTTTTTTTGGATTTAGGCCTTTGCAGGCTTTGCTACTAGTCTATGCTAATGCTGCTGATGCTGGTGTTTTTTTTTATGCAGATGCTGGTGCTGGGAGATGGGGTCGTGATGACGAGAAGTTCATCGAGATCTTCTCCTCGGAGAGCTACACGACTCTGAGAGCTGTGTTCCACGCGTATACGGCCAAATTCCAAACCACAGTGTTGGACGCAGTGTCAAGCGAGTTCTCAAGGAAAGCCAAGGACCTGTATACGACCTTGGTGAGGGTGATCTTGTCGGAGCCTCAGTATTTTGCAGACCTCATATATACTGATATCGCTGGCGTTGGCACCAACGAACCCGGTCTTGCCCGCCATATTCTCGCTCGTGCTGATGTCGACCTCGTGGAAATCAAGAAAGCTTTTCTGTCCAAGAACAAGCAGTCTGTTTCCGAAGCTGTGCAAGGTGATGTCAGCGGGGATTACTTGACGCTTCTTCTCGCTGCAATCGAGGCGGACAGTGGAACCCGTGCAGAGACACTCGAACACGAGAACAGTTCTCGACCTGTGCAGCTGGCGTGATTGATATATTTGAGTCATAATTTGATTGAGTGATCAATGGATGCATAGATTGACTGCAGTAACTGTCAAAATGGATTAGTTCCTGTCTATTTATAACTGCGCACGGATTGATCAGTCAGGCGATTGATTAGAGTCGCAAAGAAGAGTCTTGCTATATAATTTTTGCCAAGTGCGTGGCAGTGAAATGCAGTATGATAGAAGAGTTTTGCTACATAATGGTAGCCAAGTGTTCTCTCTCTCTCTCTCTCTCTCTCTCTCTCTCTCTCTCTCTCTCTCTCTCTCTCTCTCTTCTTGCATGTGAGTGATGACGTAGGGGCCAAGTCTTGTCTCTCTTCTTGCATGTGGTGGGTGATGATGAAGGGGCCAAGTCTGTCTCTCTTATTGCATGTCAGTGATGACGTAGGGGTCACCAAAAAAGTTGCTGGATTTTGGTTTTGCCTTTGTTGTAGCCAGCACAGGTAAACTGGATATTATTCGACTTGGCCTACGAGAGCATAGTTTTGTAGTCTCAGTTTTTCTGCCGGAAAATTCTACTACAAGAAAAATTGAATGGGAGTGTGTGTTTTAAACTCTTTTTCTTTTTGTAATGAATGGGAATTTTTTTTTTTTTTTTTTTTTTTTTTTTTCAACGAGTGGGAGTGTTTGTGAACTATTAGTCCTCTCTGCCTTTGGTTTGGTCACTTTTTCACTAAGTTACGCTCGTTTCAAGTCTTTTGTTTTTTTTTCCCACCTCCCTCTTTCTTTTAAATAAAACAAGTGGACCCCGCCGCGGCAACGCCATGGCGCACAGCAACACTCGCTGATGGCGTTTTTTTTTTTGTTTCATGTCTCTCTCTCTCTCTCTCTCTCTCTCTCTCTCTCTCTCTCTCTCTCTCTCTCCACACACACACACACACACATTCCATCGATAGGATGAGCAAAAACGGAAAGAATCTTCCGCTGAAACGTGGAAATATACACTGCCACTTTTCGATTTGCTCACTCTATCGATCCAAGTACCGTGCGGCGAGGCACGGGTTGGAGACTTAGCTGTCGGCCAAGGTTGGAGACCTCTCCTCTCTCTCTCTCTCTCTCTCTCTCTCTCTCTCTCTCTCTCTCTCTCTCTCTCTCTCTCTCTCTCTCTCTCTGTGTGTGTGTGTGTGTGTGTGTCACTCTCTCTCTCCACACACACACACACACACACACACATTCCATCGATAGGATGAGCAAAAACGAAATGAATCTTCCGCTGAAACGTGGAAATGTACACTGCCGCTTTTTGAGCAAAATCGGAATGAATCGTTCGTGTGTGTGTGT